CGTCTGGGATAAGGAATAAGCCTGAAGCTCATGGACAGATTAAGCCTGAAGCTCATGGACAGATTAAGCCTGAAGCTCATGGACAGATTAAGCCTGAAGCTCATGGACAGATCAAGCCTGAAGCTCATGGACAGATTAAGCCTGAAGCTCATGGACAGATTAAGCCTGACAGATTAAGCCTGAAACCCACCGTTCCCTGCATGCCTCCTGAAGCTGGGCAGTGCCGTGCCATGCCATCACATGCTCGTCCCGCACATGTATTATGAAGCGTGGGCAGCAGCACTGTACATTTTACTCAGTGTGCACACCTCATACTACTAAGCACACATCATCATCTTACTAAGCACACATTATCATCTTACTAAGAACACATCATCTTACTAAGCATACATCATCTTACTAAGCACACATCATCTTACTATGCAGTTCTCATCATCTTACTAAGCACATATCATCTTACTAAGCACACATCTTCATCTTACTAAGAACACATCATCTAACTAAGCACGCCTCATCATCTTACTAAGCACACATCATCTTACTAAGCAGAGTAAGCACACATCATCTTACTAAGCACACATCATCATCTTACTAAGAACACATCATCTTACTAAGCGCACATCATCTTACTAAGCACACATCATCATCTTACTAAGAATACATCATCTTACTAAGCACATTTCATCTTACTAAGCACACATCATCATCTTACTAAGCACACATCATCTTACTAAGCACACATCATCATCTTACTAAGAACACACATCATCTTACTAAGCACACATCATCATCTTACTAAGCACACATCATCATCTTACTAAGCACACATCATCTTACTAAGCACACATCATCATCTTACTAAGCACACAGCATCATTTTACTCAGCACACATCATTCTCTTACTAAGCACACATCATCTTACTAAGCACATATCATCTTACCAATCACACATCATCTTACTAAGCACACATCATCTTACTAAGCACACATCATCTTACTAAGCACACATCAACATCTTACAAAGCTCACATCTTACTAGGCACACATCATCATCGTACTAAGCACACAGCATCTTACTAAGCACACATCATCTTACTAAGCACACATCATCTTCTTACTAAGCACACATCATCATTACTTACTAAGCAGATATCATCATCTTACTAAGCACACATCATCATCTTACTAACCACACATCATCATTTTACCAAGCACACATCATCATTTTACTAAGCACACATCATCATTTTACTAAGCACACATCATCAATTTACTAAGCACACATCATCATTTTACTAAGCACACATCATCATCTTACTAAGCACACATCATCATTTTACTAAGCACACATCATCATCTTACTAAGCACACATCATATCTCATCGCATTCGTATGACCGGCCACGCGCGCCCGGCGTTCACTTCACACTCCCAACCTCTGACCACTGACGGTGCTCACTTCACTTGGCCTTGGGTACGAATAACATTGGCGGCGGTTAATGCATCCAGAGACTATGTGTTACTCCGCCGTCCACTGACATGAGCTCTCGCCACTTTTCCTTGGGTAGGAATAACATTGGCGTCGCTTAATGCATCCAGAGACTATGTGTTACTCCGCTGTCCACTGACAAGAGCTCTCGTCACTTTTCCTTGGGTACGAATAGCATTGACGGCGGACAAAGTATCTGTTGTTAACTCAGAATCTCTAGACAAAAGGTTTAGCCCTCATGCCTCTGCTTGGTAATGTCATGCTACCGTCGCTCCATGCTCAGCCTCATCCCTTAACATGCCATAGAATTATTGAACTGTGAACATTTAAAGGAAACTTTTGACCCTTCCTTCTATTAACAGTTTTCTGCATTTTAAAAATATTCGGAAGTAGCCATATCGATTCAGTTAATTGGTATAATTTAATGAAATGGTATTAAATTAAAGTTGGATGTTTGCAATTATATTTGCGCCTTTAAATTTAAATCACATCGGTTTTTGTCAGCGTAGTGACTACCTAATAAATTCCTCAATTAAGATTTAATCCAATATGCAGATCTCAGAAAATCCACACGAGTATAAATTTCTCAAAATGGTTTATACTTACCGGTAATGGATTGAGAAATTCGACTTCTTGCACATTGCAATGCTTGCCACGAAAAGGTTAACCCCAAATGCAAAAAAAATAGTTCATGGAACAAGGCAATTCCTGTCATGAAGCCTGCCTACCCCCTCCCCTTCAAGGCCTTAGCCCCCCTTGAAGGTTTAAGCTCCCCCCCCTTGAAGGTTTAAGCCTCCCCCCTTGAAGGCCTGCGAGCCTCCTCCATGTAGGCCTAAGCCCTCCACGCCACTAAGAATATGTGGGCTAGCCATCTCTTTTGTTGTCGTGTCCTCCTGATAACAACAGAGCTGTTGTCGTGTCCTCCTGATAACAACAGAGCTGTTGTCATGCCCTCCTGATAACAACAGAGCTGTTTTCGTGTCCTCCTGATAACAATAGAGCTGTTTTCGTGTCCTGAAAACAACAGAGCTGTTGTCGTGTCCTCCTGATAACAATAGAGCTGTTTTCGTGTCCTGATAACAACAGAGCTGTTGTCATGTCCTCCTGATAACCACAGAGCTGTTGTCATGCCCTCCTGATAACAATATTTGTCTTCGTCAACAGGACGTGTTCGGCTCGTCGGTGAGCAGCCTCGTGACGACGCAGGAGGAGGCGCCGCACACCATCGTCCGACGAGGGCCGGTGAGCGACACTGACCACACTTTGTATCCTTGGTATCCTTCGTATGTTTTTCAGACGTAGCAGTCCCAGGCCACGCTGGAGCGCCGCCTCTGTATTCCGCCGCCTTCAGCCCCGGTAGCCAAGTCCTCGCCGCCGAGGTCTCAGGGGCCAGTCTGTAGTTACCGTTCATCTGCCATCAGTTGGGCCAGCTGATGCATGATGCTGTTACTTGCTTCTCGCCGCCGGTAGTGGTGCAAAGACGGACGATCATGGATTGTGCCTAGAAACGTCCAGTCGTCTCGTGAAGGTCTCCAGGTTTAACTCACTCTCTCACATAAATCCTTTGACAGGGCGTTAAACAGCCTTGGGCCCGCCACGGAAAGAGCTTCCGCGGAGATTGAAATATCGCCGCAGATCTGTTACGTAATTGGGGTATACTGCACAGTCTCTCCCTTCTCTCATTATGGTATATCTTAATCTAGAAGGTCTCACTTAAGAAGTTGGGTGCCAGGCCGTAATTATTTTCCATGTATACAGAATGGCATGCCTCTACCGTCACCTCTCCAGTGAGTCCCATGCGATCCAGCCTGCCATAGTAGTCTAGCTCCTTCATCCCACTGATACGAGACGTAAAGGTTCGCTGGACCTCTTCCAACTGCCGTATTGCACTTACCGTGAACGGTTTCCACAACTTGTAGCAGTGCTGAAGAAGTTGGATCATAATAGCCATGAAATATTACGATCATCGGTTCCGCTTCTCTTGTTCTGAAAGCCCGCCAGATCCACCCCATTTGTCCCTTGCCTCTTGCGACTATTGCCGCTATGTGATAACCTAACTTGACCTAAGTATTCATCATCAGTCTGAGATGATGTAAGACTTGATTCTCATAGATTTCCGTGCCGTCAGGTGCCAGATAGTGGTGCCCCATACCAAAATTTTTCACCAACTTGTATCTCAGATCCTCAAACTTGGTTCCGTCGCTTTGCATGTTGTTCACTTTCGCCAAGTCATATATTACAAAGTCTTGCAACCTCTCGCAGTCCGTATGTCCGTGATGGTCATTAGTATCCTGGTGTCGTCTGCGAATGACGATGTTGAGGCGTGGCTCTCTGCCATATCTATGTCGGCGATGTGGAAGAGGAAAAGGATAGGGCCGAGTACCGTTTCCTGTGGTATTCCGCTTTTCACCCGCACCTCGCTTGATCTCGAGCCTCCAACAACGGCAGCTTGTAGTCGTATCAGTTAGGAAGTTGTGGATCCACGCCAAAAATTCACCTCTGGCCTAATAATCATAGTATCTTGAAGAGCACGCCATGGTCAACTTTGTCAAACGCTTTCGTAAAGTCTAAATACACCACGTCAACCCCGGCCTTCTCTACAGCTTGGCCATAATTTGGTGGTGATGTTCCAGTAACTGGAACAATGAGGAACGATTTCGCCTGAAACTGTACCTACTCGGCGAAATAGTTCCTTATTGTTGTCTTTGCACTCGTTTGGTTTTTTGATGAAAAAATCAGCTTTCTCCGTTTACTGTTCCAACCTTCTCGTAACGATCTTCTCAACACCTTGTACCTGCGACGTTAAGGCCGGTAGTCTGAGTGCAGTGAAGTCTGAGAGCGAGGTTTTCGCGACCATCGTGTGAAATCCTTGATCTGCCCGAAGCTCGGCAAGTCGCAACCCTCGAGCTTGTAGTCTTTGTAATATGATATCCTAGCCAGACTCTCTCTTGCGGCAACTGGTCGCTTTCAGGCGCCGAAAAATGGCCATTGGTCGGTTATAACTAATTGGACTAGGCCGACCACTGGCCACGTATTATTCCTCGCCCCTCGTTGAGTTCACCTTCACCATGCCGCCCATCGTGAACCGACAGTCGAGTAATTTTTGACGTCTCTTTCCCCTCACACCTTCCACAACGCCTGCAATCGAGCAGTTAGTATGAGGGATTTTCCCTCCACGTATCAGCGTACTCGATCATAACTATTTTTTGGTAGATAATATCTACAATAAGGAGCCTGATCAAGAAATGTCGAGTGTACCATTCAATGGAGAATAAAAATTACAACCCGTTGACATCTCGACAAAAGTGTAAAAGTCACAAACTTGATGAACAATAATATTCAAAGTTTATTGAAAATTCCTTTCATTATAACACTTTAAATAAAAAGTTTACATATTTTTGGTTTCTGTCCACCATTTATAAATAGATAGCTGGGTAAGCATGGAGAAATTCATATCGCCATTTCATTTACGAGTGGAGTAAAGTCCACCCTAATTTGTGAAGAAACTCGCAGGGAAGAACCGAGCCTGTTCGAAGCCTCGCGGTTCTCAGTCAAAGCCTTGATGTCACCGGCCTGAAATTTTGGAGTTTGTTTCTCGCACCCTCTTCTTTGTAGATTGGAGTTATTAGCCCCAACTTTAGGTAACAAAGAATGTTTCCTTCACCCAACGATGCTTTCCAGAGCAAAGTTAGAGGGACGTTCAGTGCACCGACGCATTTTTTAACCAATACTGCGGCTAATCCAACCTGACTAGTATCAGAATAAGGCGAGCATTCTCGCTAAGTCCGTTATTTCAAACTATATATCCATCAACACACGCCTCCTGGCTGTTCTTAATGGACTCCAATTTAGTTCTCCTGGCTTGAGTAAAAACAGTTGCTGAATACTTTCTTCAAAGGGCTTTCATTGCAGTTCACTCATGTCCTGGTCGTCCCCAACGAGGACATTATTATCTTTCAGAGGCCTCACTGTGGCCGTGATTAGTCATATTTGTAGAAATATATAATATTCTCCTGAATGACGCCAAAGGCTCGCACCTCAGCTGACTTGCTCTAATCGTGTGAGGCCTGCAGCTGTCATTCAGTTTTCTAAATTTCCTCATTTAGACGTACGAGCCTCCGCCTCTCCATATTCCTAGGGGCGGCCGCTATCTGCTTGTTCTGACTCGCTCTTTTTCGCATGAGAATTAGTCTTTCGTTTAGAATTATGCGTCGTTTGATGTTCGTTCTTCCTGCCACCGTTCGTACACCTGCCATACTACTCCGCATAGCTTGTTGCACATTGCATCGCCAATTAACTCCAGGAACTCGGATCTCCAGTCGACGTCGAGGATTCCGTTCCCATTGGCCTCCCAGTCTGTTCATCGGTGGTGAAAATTTAGCTCAGTCAGGCTCTCTCGAGATGTAGGTCTGGGTAGGTCCCCAATGCCAATTGTCGCCGCTACCACCACTTGTCGGTGGACTCACAGTGTGGTCTCCTCAACGCGAACATCAGCAACCGATTCATCATTGCTGGTGAAGAATCAAGAATATATCCAGGATATTGTGCTCTGTTATTGGCATCTGTAACTGCTGACTAAGCAAATGCTCCCTAGCAAATCGTAGTAGGTATCTTGCTTGGTTCTTGTCCTGGTCTGAACCCCTTCTCAAACAGTCCAAGTGTGACCACCGTATGCGTTAGGTCGAAATCTTTAAAATCTTACTATATTTGAGGAGATTTCACCCAGATTTGCTATCTATTCTCTTATGAGTTTCTTTGGAATTTTCTGGCTGGCGATAACCGATAACTGTGCTCAGGTGGAGATGTGAAATGTGTAGTATACCATGTTCCACATACCCATTAGAGCCTAAATACAGGTGCACTGTTTTTGCTGTGAGGAAGCTACTGAGGCAGACAATAACACCTCCCTTCTTTCTCCTATATTCTCGGTCCGCTTGGTAATCTTGAAAGCCTTTCATTTCATTTTCCCCATCCTGGATATCCTGTCTTAACTGTAACTGTGGATCAGTACGCCCACTATAGCACCCTCCATCCTCCTAGGGGTACGAAGTACGACCACTATAGCCCCTTCCATGCCCCTAGGGGTACGAAGTACGAACACTATAGCCCTCTCCATCCCCCTAGGGGTACGAGGTACGCAAGTACCCCTCCCAGTGGTGGGTGTGCCGCCGCCACGCTGGGTCGCTCAGCGCCACCGCTCAGCAGGCGGCCTTTCTGGCGCTCTTCGACTACCTGGCGGGGCACAACAACCAGAGTGAGTGGCGGATTGGCGGGGTGACAGAGTAGTGGGGTGGCGGGGTATCAAAGTAGTGGGGTGGGTGGCGGAGTGGATGGGTGACGAGGTAGTGGAGTAGTGGGATGATGAATTGGTTGAGTGGCGGAGTGGTGGGATGGTGGAGTGACGGAGTGGTGGAGTTGTTGGATGGTGGAGTGGCGGAGTAGTTGACCACAAGCAACAAGATCCGTAGATGAGCTGCTTGGTGACCTTTCTGTGTAGGTTGAAATATTCTCTTAAATGAGTAAATTCAATAAACTTGCGCATTCTCGGTGGTGATACTGATATGGGAGTGTGGTGATGTGTGGGTGGTGATTTGGGAGGTTGGTGTTGTGGGAGGACGGTGATGTGGGAGGGAGGTGATGTGGGAGGGAGGTGATGTAGGTGTTGAGTGCCCTACAGACTGCCCTTCCCCAGGCCTGGTGATGGACATGGCGGTTCCTGCTTCCGTTGAGGCTCCCGGGATGGTGGACCAGGCCAATGAGATGAACGAGGCCAACGAGGCTGAAGATTTAAATGAGATTGACGAGGTTAATGAGGTGGACGCCCCTGAGAGGGAAGCCCCGGCGGAGGGGGAGATGACAACTTTCGAGGCCTGCTTCTACCCCGGCAAGCGCCAGCAAGCCAATCCTCCCCAGCCCTCCAACCCTCGCCTCTACCTCAAACTCCGGCCCAAGATGGTGGTCTATACCAGGTGACTATACCAGCTGACTATACCAGCTGACTATACCAGCTGACTACACCAGCTGACTATACCAGCTGACTATACCAGCTGACTATACCAGCTGACTACACCAGGTGACTACACCAGGTGACTACACCCGCTGACTACATCCGCTGACTACACCAGATAACTACACCAGGTGACTACACCAGATGACTACACCAGGTGACTACACCAGCTGACTACACCAGGTGACTACACCAGCTGACTACACCAGGTGACTACACCAAGTGACTACACCAGGTGACTACACCAGCTGACTACACCAGGTGACTACACCAGGTGACTACACCAGCTGACTATGCCAACTGACTATACCAGCTGACTATACCAGCTGACTATACCAGTTGACTATACCAGCTGACTATACCAGCTGACTACACCAGCCTACTATACCAGCTGACTATACCAGCTGACTATACCAGCTGACTATACCAACTGACTATACCAACTGACTATACCAACTGACTATACCAGAAGGTGACTACACCAGGTGACTACACCCGCTGACTACGCCAGGTGACTACACCAGCTGACTACACCCGCTGACTACATCCGCTGACTACACTCTCTGACTACACCAACTGACTACACCCGCTGACTACACCCTCTGACTACACCAACTTACTCTGCCATCTGACTAGTTCACCTGTTCCACTGGCAAGCCATCACCTGATGCTATCGTTACACTAATAGAAAAAAACAGCCTGCATGAGGTGAGAACGGGAGGACGCCATTGACTGTCGAGTGGAAGGCAAGCTGGCTTCTACCTTAGACCTCGAGCCCTATGCATGGCAATACACTCTAAGGATAGTCCAAGTCCGCTTAGGTTGGTCTCCGTAGACCAGCCTATCTAGCCCACCTACACCCTCTATACCACCAGCAGTGCCATCCTAATCTCAAGCAAAACATATAACTAGCCGACACATTGAAACTTCACTGACCCGGTATATCATAAGCTCAGCGGTTTTATACATATGGCCCCATATATTCCAGTAGACCCTGCCTAGTAAGCAGGAGGCTGAGCTAACGTTGGTTGTAGTCTACGATAAGTCCTCATTTATGTGCAACTTTCTACACCCGCTAATCCGCAAAACACACCTCCACCTCTATTTGGAAATGTTTAATCTTACTTGCCAAAACCCATGAATTCTCGGAAGCCAAGTGGGACACTCACTCATCATTCAACATTTTCCCTCATATCGAGACCACAGCCACCTAAACTGCCAACACTTTACGGAAATTTTGGCCAGCACGAACCAAAGTGAAAGACATCACTTATGCCTACATTACCATTAGGCGCTCGATTTTGAATTAAGGAGCCATCGTCTGGTGCCTTTTCGCCCTGCGGATGTTATCCTGCAAACGAATCAAAACTCTACTTCGAGGTTTGCTACCTCTCACGACATTAGGTGATACCCTTATGCCCTCTTATATCTCGCCTGCTTAAAATTCCTTTTCACTTGTTTCTGCTCGTCCTTTTCCGGGCACGGGCTCTTGAAGGCCTCTCTTAACATCTCTAACATCGGAAGGCATCCTGCTGACTGGATCTTACGAGGCAGCCAATAGTCTGTCAATATTCACATGCGCCCCAGAAGCCAACGGGAACAACAGAGTCCTGGCTATCCCTCTTCCACCCATTGGCTTCTAAATTTTACCACCCTCCTTCACCCCTAACTATCTTATACGGTCGAGCCCCTCGTCATACTCATTTATAGTGAAGAGCTCCCCAAGCCAGCCTTTCCTCAGTTGAGTGCTAAGATCTTCCTTTTTCCCCTCTGCACCTTTGCTCCAACGTCTTCCTCCCGACGCCTCTCTTCGTCTCCTTTTTGTGGGATCGGCCCGCATATGCGGCAGACCCTTCTTTGTTCAACCTTATTCTTCCCTACGATGTCCGCGCCTTAAGGCGTCCCCTTACCATACGTGTACGTATGTCGGAGTCACGGATAACAACTACATTCACTTACATGGAAAATGTGACAATGTGATCCATACCATTCATTTAACCGACACTGTAATCTATACCATTCATTTAACCGACACTGTGATCTATACCATTGATGCCACTGACACTGTGGTCTATACCATTGATGCCACTGACATTGTGATCTATTCTATTCATGCCACTGACATTGTGATCTATTCTATTGATGCCACTGACATTCTGATCTTTACGACTCATTCCACTTACATGGATGTCTACACTTACTGTACCTCATTTGACGTGCCGATGACCATAATCACTGAGATAACAAGATAACACCCCTCCCCCTCCCCCCAGGCAGTTCGGGGGGTACGCGGACACGGAGGAGGAATGGCGGGCCGAGACCCGAGCCCTGAGCGCCTTCCTGAGAGATGCGGGCCAACTGGTGGACAAGCAGCGGGTCTACTGGTGAGTGGACTGGGTCTGGTGGTGAGTGGACTGGGTCTACTGGTGAGTGGACTGGGTCTACTGGTGAGTGGACTGGGTCTACTGGTGAGTGGACTGGGTCTACTGGTGAGTGGACTGGGTCTACTGGTGAGTGGNTGTCTCCAATCTTACAAATGTACAATGAATTTCTCATTTAATTTTCAAATTAAAAAATTAGTTTTTCAATTTTTTTAATATATAATTTTTTTCTAAATTATTTATTCTATTAATTGATTCATGCATTGCTTCTGACTTCGCACAAGTGTGCAAAATTTCAGATCAATTAGACAGGTAAAAGTGTGTCAAATATCAGTTATAAGATTTGTAGCTGACAAAATTACTTTTTCAATTTTTTTAATATTGAAAAAAAATAATTTTCAATTTTTAAAATTATTTATTTTGACATTTGATTCATGCATTGTCTCCAACTTCACACAAGTGTGCAAAATTTCAGATCGATAGGATAAGTAGAAGTGTGTTAAATTTCGATTACAAGATTTGTAGCGGACAGACAGACAGACAAACAAACAAACAAACAAGAAGTGAAGTTAAAGAGAAGTGTTTTAAAAAGCACTACAATTCATCACGAGCACACACACTTGACAGACTTTACATCTTCACAAACACTACACGAGTATTGTAATATTCACATTATAAACACAATCCTCCATCATCAAGCACCTATAACCTGGTACAGCATAAAAACCATACGACACCGGATCAGCCATCTCACATTCCCTCCCGAAGCCACAGCGAGGCAGCAGCGTTCATTCCGTAGCTCCATAATACTCGCACTAAGTCTCCAACCTCCACCTCTGTACAAATAAATACACAGCGAACTATGCTACAACCGGACGGCAGTTGTTCCTATCGTGTCTAGGTGTAGCTGGTCCCAAAACAACACACGCCATCCAACTCACCATTACACTGACGGACTTACTCGACTCACCGAGAGTGACTAACAGTAAAGACGAGACCGAAAACCCAGTACGAAGTAATATGATCAACTAACCTCCCACCTCCCTCCGAGTCTCGAGCGACTCACCCAGCGACCAGCCCACCGCTTTCATTTTCATCATCATCAACATCATCACCCTTCTCTTTTCACCATATCATCTGAGAAAATAAAAAAAATAAAATTATGAAAATAACAACAAAAAACGGAAACGCATGTACGAAGCAATTAAGCGCACTAATTATTTTTGTAAATAAAGATCCACCCTCTCATTGCCCACCCGCTTAAACTATACAACGCATTGGTGGGTTACCAACCCTTCTCACAACCCCAAACAAACCCCACTCACCCACAACCCGCTTAATCATGCGTAATGCGCCTTTTCATCTGCTGCTGTTTTCTTCATTTCTCCTTCCTCTTCCTGGCCACTCTGCGCCACCTCTTTTTCTCTTCCACACTTTCCTAGTGCCACCGCAACAACAATTATGAGCTTAGGATGTTTTGGTGCCAACCTCAAATATTCTGTGCATCTCACGGTAGTATATGAAGAAACTGCAGATGAATTTTGCCTTAACTCGAGAATTTGTTCACAGTATAGTGAGGGTTCCATCTCACCCCAGCCCCCACATGACCCCAACTTCTTCCTCCCCCAGGAACGCCTACGACTCCCCCATCAAGTTCTGGGCGCGCCGTAACGAGGTGTGGCTCCCCGCCAGGGATTGACGGGCGGCCGAGGGGCCCCAGCTCTCCCATGGGGGGGAGGGGAGCTCCTCGCTGGCAGCCGCAGCTACCAGCAGCAGCGGCACCAGCTTGCACCACCTGAACCAGAGCTGGCACCACACGTGCCATCTGTTGCTGCTCACCACACTCATCACCCTACGCTGCACCACCAGATGATGACAGCCCATCTAGTCCATCTAGGGCTCACTGAACTCCTCTGATCTCTTTTGACCCCTTGTAATCTCATTTGAACCTCTGCAGGCTCCTCTGATCTCCTGTAATCAGCTCTAATGTTCTTTTAAACCCATCTGAACACCATCTGTGCCCATCAGAACATTCTGAACCTATAAGTGCCTCTTTGAACCCCATTGAGCCTTACACGACCAGTGGGTTCATCTCTTTCCCTCTCCTACTAATTATGTATACAGTCGACGGCCAGCGTGACAGTTGGTGGCCAGTGTGACAGTTTGCGGCCAGCGTGACAGTTGGCGCCCATGGGCCTTATCCAATGCCGCATTAGGCCTTAGTCTTCAGAAAGTGATGAGGAACGATAAGAGTGTGATAAGGGGTTGATAAGACAACGATAAGGGTTGATAAGACAACAATAAGGGGTTGATAAGACAGCGATAAGGGGGTGATAAGACAGCGATGAGCGGTTTATAAGATAGTGATAAGGGGTTGATAAGACAGCGATAAGGGGTTGATATGACAGCGGTAAGGGGGTGATAAGACAGCGATAAGCGGTTTATAAGATAATGTTATGGGGTTGATAAGACAGCGATAAGGGGTTGATAAGACAGCGATAAGGGGGTGATCTGACAGCGATCAGGGGTTGACATGACAGCGATAAGGGGTTGATAGGACAGCGATAAGGGGTTGATAAAGCAGCGATAAGGGGTTGATAAAACAGCGATTAGGGGGGTGATAAGACAGCGATAAGCGGTTTATAAGACAGTGATAAGGGGTTGATAAGACAACGATAAGGGGTTGATATGACAGCGATAAGGGGTAAAGGGGTTGATAAGACAGCGATAAGGGGGTGATAAGACAGCGATAAGCGGTTTATAAGACAGTGATAAGGAGTTGATAAGACAGCGATAAGGGGGTGATATGACAGCGATAAGGGGTTGATATGACTGCGATAAGCGGTTTATAAGATAGTGATATGGGGTTGATAAGATAGCGATAAGGGGTTGATATGGCAGCGATAAGGGTTTGATATGACAGAGATAAAGGGGTTGATAAGAAAGCGATAAGGGGTTGATATGACAGCGATAAGGGGTTGATAAGATAACGATAAGGGGTTGATAAGGCAGCGACAAGGGGTTGATAAGACAACGATAAGGGGTTGATAAGACAACGGTAAGGGGTTGATAAGATAACGAAAAGGGGTTGATAAGATAACGATAAGGGGTTGATAAGGCAGCGACAAGGGGTTGATAAGACAGCGATAAGGGGGTGATAAGACAGCGATAAGCGGTTTGACAGCGATAAGGGGTTGACATGACAGCGATAAGGGGTTGATAGGACAGCGATAAGGGGTTGATAAGGCAGCGACAAGGGGTTGATAAGACAGCGATAAGGGGGTGATAAGACAGCGATAAGCGGTTTATAAGACAGTGATAAGGGGTTAATAAGACAGCGATAATGGGGTGATATGACAGCGATAAGGGGTTGATATGACAGCGATAAGCGGTTTATAAGATAGTGATATGGGGTTGATAAGACAGCGATAAGGGGTTGATATGGCAGCGATAAGGGTTTGATATGACAGAGATAAAGGGGTTGATAAGACAGCGATAAGGGGTTGATATGACAGCGATAAGATGTTGATAAGATAACGATAAGAGGTTGATAAGGCAGCGATAAGGGGTTGATAAGACAACGATAAGGGGTTGATAAGACAACGGTAAGGGGTTGATAAGATAACGATAAGGGGTTGATAAGATGACGATAAGGGGTTGATAAGACAGCGACATGGGATTGATAAGACAGCGATAAGGGGGTGATAAGACAGCGATAAGCGGTTTATAAGACAGTGATAAGGGGTTGATAAGACAGCGATAAGGGGGTGATAAGACAGCGATAAGAGGTTGATAAGACAGCGATAAGGGGTTGATAAGACAGCGATAAGGGGGTGATCTGACAGCGATAAGGGGTTGACATGACAGCGATAAGGGGTTGATAGGACAGCGATAAGGGGTTGATAAGGCAGCGATAAGGGGTTGATAAAACAGCGATTAGGGGGGTGATAAGACAGCGATAAGCGGTTTATAAGACAGTGATAAGGGGTTGATAAGACAACGATAAGGGGTTGATATGACAGCGATAAGGGGTTGATATGACAGCGGTAAGGGGTTGATAAGACAGTGATAAGGGGTTGATATGACAGCGATAAGGGGTTGATAAGACAACGATAAGGGGTTGATATGACAGCGGTAAGAGGGTGATAAGACAGCGATAAGCGGTTTATAAGACAGCGATAATAGGTTGATAAGACAGCGATAAGAGGTTGATAATACAGCGATAAGGGGTTGATAAGACAGCGATTATGGCGCGATTTACTGAAGATAAGACAAAAGATCGGCAAGATAAATATAAGATGAAACAACAGCTTGTTCCTCACTTCAATACTCGTTACATTTAAGCCTTAATATATGTACTGTAATGAACTTAGTATATGTATAACGTTATCTTAAAGCATGTCTGATGATACAAATATATGTACTGTAATGAACTTAGTATATGTATAACGATGTCTTAAAACATGTCTGATAAGACAAATATATGTACTGTAATGAACTTAGTATATGTATAACGTTGTCTTAAAGCATGTCTGATGAGACATCTTGAAGAATAAGGTTTCTGTAGAAATGGCTGATCGGTAAGTCTTTTGAGACATGTAGAATATAATGCGCCCTGGCAAGCAATAAGACATCAGACATATTTCAATCTCATTCTGATTACTTTGTAAGAAAGTGTAGCATCGGCATTTGAATGTCTTAAGGTCATCTGTGTGTTTTTATTAAATGTCGCATATCTAACTGATGTCTACTTAACCTCTGATGGCTTAACCTCTGATGCCACGTGATGGCTGCAGACATGGCTGATCACGTGTGATGGCTGCAGACATGGCTGATCACGTGTGATGGCTGCAGACATGGCTGATCACGTGTGATGGCTGCAGACATGGCTGATCANATTAATGAGCTCGCTATTACTTATTAATGAGCTCGCTATTACTTATTAATGAGCTCGCTATTACTTATTAATGAGCTCGCTATTACTTATTAATGAGCTCGCTATTACTTATTAATGAGCTCGCTATTACTTATTAATGAGCTCGCTATTACTTATTAATGAGCTCGCTATTACTTATTAATGAGCTCGCTATTACTTATTAATGAGCTCGCTATTACTTATTAATGAGCTCGCTATTACTTATTAATGAGCTCGCTATTACTTATTAATGAGCTCGCTATTACTTATTAATGAGCTCGCTATTACTTATTAATGAGCTCGCTATTACTCATTAATGAGCTAATTGCACTATAAGAGTTGAGCTGACCTGGAGTTCCCTCGCTCCAGTTAAGTAGCAGACGAAGGACGCGCGAGCTTCCAAAATTCAGAGATTGCGGGCAAAACATCAATTTAATTTTTTCACAATAATGTCTTAATTACTGTCACAATGTTACATTTTTAATTACTGTCACAATGTTACATTTTAACTACTGTCACAATGTTACATTCTTCTTCATCCAAATGATAACATTCAAAAAATGAACCATCCAAAGGAACCACAGTCAACGTCTGCGCTTTGGTCTATTTCTGAAATGCTTCCAGTTTAAAAAAAAACTACGACGCCGTTTAATGTGAAAAAAGTACATATTGTACCGTTGAATAAAATTCCAGCTTTGATTGACAAAAGACGGTCGTTTGACTATATTTTTATACAAAAATTTAGCAAAGGGATCCCTTTGCTGGCAAGCCTTATGAAGAGAGATTGAAGATTGTGAAGCTTCCATGCCAACGTCTGTTATCGACGTCCGCGTGGTGACCTCACTGAAATATACATGTATACTCAGTTTATACAAGGTCCCAGAAGGATTACTATAATTTGAAACAAGAACCAACACCAGGGGCCACGGCTATAGAACACTCATTCACATTTCTTCTCGCTTCGTGTCCCCGACATGTGGAACAGCCTCCGGTTAGGTCGTTGACGCTCTGAGTATAAACGTGTTTAAGAACGGACTATACGAAGCTATACGGCGATATATATTTCGATTGGCAGTGCTTCCCATCTTACAAATTTGATCAACAGCTTTTTCGCTTCAACGTAAGTTTTGGATAGGTATGTTCAAAAGGCCAGTCCTGGGCCTATACTTTCAAAAAAGTTAAGAGATCGTAAGTTCATCAGCCAATCATTGACGGCCTTTCAAGCAAAATCCACCAATCATAGACAAGAAAATAGAGCGTAAGCACTTACGTTCACTTAGCCAGTTTTGAAAGAATGGCCCCTGATCGCCAGAAGACAAGTCACGAACAATATAATAATCGGCGACAGACCAAACTTGGCGTATTCTTCAGCGCCCGCACTACTATAATATACTAATAAGTGTCATCGGTCTTCATCGGGAGTTTACAATAGTTTTCATAATTAACGCCTTTGGATTTGTGCTTAGTAAATAGTTGAAATTGGATACAGTCAAGAAGAGCGGGATCGTGTATCGTATCTCTGATTTTTGTAAGCAAATATTTCGTTTTTCGTAAATTGTTTCAATGAAATTCTACAAAATTTGAGTCACTTTAAAATCATATTCACTTGTAGTAGAAATCAGGCTATGTAAAAAGTATGTTTTCCATCGATGAAACGCATTTGGTCTCTCGTACTTGTACGCACAAACGTACGACACTTACAATATTGGCTGGTTAGTAATACACCGTCTGATTGTTATTGAACTGCTATTGAACTTTATTATCCTTAGTCCTTAGTATCCTTAGTATTTGTTTGGGACGTAGCAGTCCCAGGCCACGATGGATCGCCGCCTCTGATTATCGTTCATCCGCCCTCATTTCGGCCAGCTGATGCACGATGCTGTTGCTTGCTTCTCGCCATCGGTAGTGGTGCAGGGGAGGTCGGTCTGGGATTGTGCCCAGGAACACGTCCAGTCGTCTCTTGAAGTTCTCCTGGGTGAACTCACCCACTCTTAGATCCTCTGGAGGGTGATCCTAACTGCTTTGAATAACCTAACTAGTCAATGCTTGCAGCATCTGTATTCGACGACTACTACCCTGCTGCCGGGCTAGAGGTCTACCCTGCTGCCGGGATAGAGGTCTACCCTGCTGCCGGGCTAGAGGTCTACCCTGCTGCCGGGCTAGAGGAGCGCATACGCGATCATAGATGAGCAGTCGGATCAGAGTTTTGCTGCGCCTTGTCTATTTGACTTCTTTAACATCGATTCTCCAGTAGAATCTTACCGTCTTTGTACGCTCGCTGGTTACTCGGAGGACATTTGTGGCCGGGTAATTCCAGGTTTATTGATTAAAGGTGTGCGTGGGAAAGAGTATTTTCCGCTGCCAGACGTTTTTGAGAACAATATGATACCCGACAGTCCGACACGAAAAGCGAAGTAGCTACCCCAAAGATGTTGAGCGTGCATCCAACCCTCTGTAAATTTGCAGATAAATTTGTGCCTCTAGATGAGCAGGCGTCCGTTATTCTATTGATTGGTCGGACAGTGGCAATCTGATGGCTACGTGCACCAAACAAGCGGCTGCTCCGTTCGTGCACCAAACCCCCTTAGGCTGGGCCGTTGTCGGTACAATTTGCCCTTTGGCCGAAGCTAGTAAAGTACGCAAATTTAATGTTATGAGAGCGCGCATTTTGACGAAAACTCATGACCACGATCATTTCTTGGCGCGTCGTAGGTTCGCTCACGCAGTCCCGGACTTTCTTGTTAAAAACCTGCCGTTGCCTGAGGGTCCTGCCGAAGAAGTGAGCCTCCCCGAGGAAACTTCAGACAAGAAAACCGTACTTAAAAATGTGAGTACACGTGAATACAGGGATTCAATTTTTGAGTCTTTGTTGCGCCGCACGAGTTCATGGACAGCTGTGTTGAGAGTCGTCGCCCTCGTCAGAGAGGTGTGTAAATCTTGGCTGCAGCGAGTGAGACGGTCCAAACCGAACGAAATCTCGCCTCGTGACGAGCAGGTGGGCGAGACTGAGGGCGCTCAAAATGTGCTCGTATCAGATGTTCAGAAATCAGTTTATTTTGACCTCATGAAGGATATACAGTCTAGCTCTTTGTCCACTAAGCATAAATTGTTGTCGTATTCACTGTTCATTGATACTCACGGCATTCTTAGAGTTGGTGGTCGACTAGCGAGGTCAGACTTGTGGTATGGCATGAAACAACCTATCATACTATCGTCCACGAGGGCACTGCGACTCGTAAGAACAGTAGAGTAAGGAAAGTTTGGGCGGTTCTTTTTACTTGCTTAACAAGTAGAGCTGTGCATCTTGAAATGTTGCCTTCACTAGATACTTCCACGTTCATCAACGCATTTAAAAGATTTGTAGCAATCAGGGGACCTTGTAAGATCATTAGATCAGATTGTGGCTCAAATTTTGTAGGTGCCTTTAATCAGAGCGAATCCCTGAACCTAGCCTCTGTTAAAGGTAAATTGTCTCATGAATTGCCAGTGGATCTTCAATCCACCACATGCCTCGAATTTCGGAGGCGTCTGGGAAAGGAAAATTGGTCAGATTAGAAGAGCTCTAGACGCGGCGCTTGTGCAGCTTGGTCTGCGCAAGCTTACTTACGACGAGCTGCATACTTTCCTCTTGGAGGCTGCGGCAATCGTTAACTCAATTCCTCTGTGGAGTGTTTCAGACGACCCCAATGATCCATTGCCTCTTTCTCCGTCACTTCTACTCACCACGAAGGCAGCTCAGCCCGCCATCGCCACCGACTCTAAACCGCGAGACCTTATCACGATTGGTCCACGACAGTGGCGGCGAGTGAATTATCTCTCGGACCAATTTTGGATTAAGTTTCGCCAAATCTACTTAAGTGAGCTCCAAAAGCGGAATAAATGGAAAACTCCAAGACGACACTTGAGATGTGGCGACCTAGTTCTCGTCCGAGATAAGGGAGCCAACAGACTACATTGGCCCACAGGCCTGGTGCAGTCCGTCAAGACGAGCGCCGACGGTCTCGTCAGGAGCGCTACCATCCGAACCGTTGTCACAAAGAACCCTGGTGTTATTGCTCGTGTTTATGAGAGGCCAATAGGGGAATTAGTTCTTCTTGAAGCCGCTCCACCTCAATTTAGTTTAGTATGTTGTGTTCGTTTCTTGTTCCTCTTAATAAATGTTCCT